GTCGTACTTTCGGATAGGAATCCCGCTTCTCTTAATTAATCGGCTCATATGAAAAAGAATGCTTTGAGGTGCTTTCGTTTTCTATCTGAAAAATATGAAGTTTGGAATATTTTTACAAATTTTAGTCGAATTCTGATACTTATGTATTTGAATCAAAGTTTTACGATAGAAACTATCGTTTCTTATGTGAGATTTACCATACACATCTCATATTTCCGAATAGGCATCCCGCATGTCTTAATTAAACGGATTATATGAAAAAGAACGCATTCAGGTGCTTTCGTTTTCTATCCGAAAAATATAAAGTTTAGAATATTTTTGCAGATATTAATCGAATCCTGATACTTATGTACTTGAATCAAAGTTTTACGATAAAGTCTATCGTTTCTTATGTGAGATTTACCATACACATCTCATATTTCCGAATAGGACTCCCGCATCTCTTAATTAATCTGATCATATGAAAAGAACGCATTCAGGTGCTTTCGTTTTCTATCAAAAAAATATTAGTTTAGAATATTTTTGCAGATTTTAATCGAATCCTGATACTTATGTATTTGAATCAAAGTTTTACGATAAAGTCTATCGTTTCTTATATGAGATTTACCATACACATCTCATATTTCCGAATAGGACTCCCGCATCTCTTAATTAAACGTATTATATGAAAAAGAACGCATTCAGGTGCTTTCGTTTTCTATCCGAAAAATATAAAGTTTAGAATATTTTTGCAGATATTAATCGAATCCTGATACTTATGTACTTGAATCAAAGTTTTACGATAAAGTCTATCGTTTCTTATGTGAGATTTACCATACACATCTCATATTTCCGAATAGGACTCCCGCATCTCTTAATTAATCTGATCATATGAAAAGAACGCATTCAGGTGCTTTCGTTTTCTATCCAAAAATATTAGTTTAGAATATTTTTGCAGATTTTAATCGAATCCTGATACTTATGTATTTGAATCAAAGTTTCACGATAGAGTCTGTCGTTTCTTATGTATTCATGACAACCTCTGTACACATTATATAGGTAAGATTCTTATAAAATTGGATTATTACCGATATCAATATGTCGTATATTTGTTCGACATGCATACTTCCAATGTGTATAAATCTATGTCAATTTTATAATTATTATTATGTCTAGATATCATATATTAATAGTCAATTACATATCTTATGGTTTTATTAACTATCATTATACTTGCATACATATATTATATTGTTACTTGCACTGATATTATAGTAATTTGTACTTGACTGAGTCAGTAATTCGATATTGTTGTTAATGTATTAGTCAAAATTAATCAATAAATTTGCCGTTTTTGGTGTATAGTTTAAAGATGATTAAAACGTACAAGAATGTTTTATATTTTTGTACTGTAATTATAATAATTTTTTTACTGATTATCATATTTTTAATTATAGTTGTAGAAAAATTAATTGTTAAAATGCGTAGTTTTTTAAAACAGGATCCTTTGCGTCACTAAATAACTTCGAAGTCGTAACTTATATAGTTGAACAATGTACGATAGATATGTTTAACCGATGAAATATTAATACATAGGTTTCTATTGATGTTTCCTATATAAAAAAAGGCGTGTTAAGTCGATAGTCGAAAGTCTCGAAGTATTGTTGTCGCTTTTCCGAGATGCTGATTGGCTGTCTGGCTTTTGCGATACGATACGTGTGTATTGACAGTTTAAAGGTTGACGGCTTATACAGGGTGAGGAAAAAGTACAGGACCGGTAAAATATCTCGAAAAATATGGGAGATACGGAAAAATGTTTCAGAC